ACACACACACACACACACACACACACACACACACACACACACACACACACACACACACACACACACACACACACATATATATATATATATATATATATATATATATATATATATATATGATTTTTGTGTATGTGATGGCATATTGCTAATCTTCCTCGTTCTTTGTATGGCTTCATGGTCAGACCACTTCCCTAGCCTATTTGATCGCCGCGAGCACAGGCGCATATACAGTATCAAGTTTACAGACATAACACATTACTTTATCAGAGAAGAACCCGACAAGCACCGGTTAGACCACATCGTTATTACCTTAACACCTGTTTATATATAGGTCATTACTATATAATTACACAACTGGTTAAGTATTTGGTTCTTACACACGCACATGTATTTTTCGTTCCTTTTTCGCTACACGTCCCTGTACCCAGGCCACACCTCTAGCCTGTTTGATCGCCGCGAGTGCACGCGCACCCCACAGTAAGAAGATCACAGACGCCGCACAATACCTCATTAGAGAAGGAGCGGACAAGCGCCGCTTAAGTCACGTCGATCCCAGTCATTGGCTGGTACCCATAATTAGGAAAACCAGCGCGAGGGCTCTATCTCTACGGAGGATTTGTTACTTCAAGATGCGGGTAATTCTCGGGCGGTATTCGTAATGGATGGGTGGGCGCGCGAGATGATGCACCGGCGTACGTGTGCATTTGTTGTAAGGATGGGTGTACGTTTATTTGAAATCCGAGCACAGTTAGGCTTGGCTATTGTACTGTTGCGCTGGAAGGACTTCACATCATTTCGAATTGAGTTTCAAAATTACGAGTAAGTCTGTTAATGTATTCTGAGTATGGTTTGGGATGCAAGATTATAATGCGGTGAATATACGAAGTTGCAAGGGAATGTGACTATAGTCTATCTTCACGGATGTGTATTGAACACATCAAAATACGCATCGTAATGCACATCAGATGTTCCGGATTGTCGTCGCTCTTTGTGTACATAGCCAAACGACTAGCGTGCACGTTTAGTAAAAGCGGAACGGTTATTTATATGTATGTTGGAGACGTCTTATTGCGTCTTTTCTCATTAAGATACGATTATTGTACGTATTCAATTCTCTACTCCATCATTTGCTTGTGCCGTTATTTAATCCAACGTATTGGTGTGTAATAGTTAATTTGGTTTGCTATGGGTGTAGCTACGAGCCTATGAGGTACTATTTGAAACAATTAGAAGTCGCGATCAATTTTTTTGTGCTGTAGTTCTATGGAAATCGTCGGGGCATTCACTGAATTCCTATTTCTTAATGCAGAGAGAAAATTTGGAGGGCCTTAAGGAGGAAGCGTTTCAGTCGAGTTTCCCATCAGAAAGGAGGGACTGGGATATCGATAACGATGAAGGTACTGTGTTCTCCGACGAAGATAACGGCAGCTAGTAGCTAATGATAAATAATAAAGGAAGCATACGCTTGTACGTACGAGCTTTTCTCAAAAGGAAATCTATATAACCGAGTACCACAGTATTCAATTTTGTACAAACAACTTATTGCGAGATATAGGTTTGCAAAGTATTGGATAGTTCGAGTGAAACAAGAAGAAATGTGTTTAAAATATTACAACGCATCGAAGCTAAGTTGAAACCTAACTGAACGGCACACAAGCTCAATGAAGAATGATAAATAAAATCTATCCGGCGGTCGCTTTCATCGACTGCGCCTACTGCTACATGTCACAAAGCGTAACTCTGCTGAAGAGATTCAATCTTAGCTTGCGCCATGGGTCAGCCCCGTGAAAACCTGATTGAGTTATAGAATTCGAACATACTTTATGTTAATCAATTAATGGCCGGGCATTTTTTCAAAAAAAAATTCACATTGGCCACCATTAGTCTGTCAGACCTGTGTCAATGTCGACTCAACGCACATTCATTTGTACTACAAAGAAGGTATGGACTATTTATATAAAAACATGAACTCTAAGCTACCTTCCTCGTGTAATTCTATCTTGATCTCAATTCACAATACAAATGCATCTGCAAGTTGCCCTCCATCTTCTACATGAATTCTAAGCTACCTTCCTCGTGTATTTCTTTCGTGATCTCTATCAACAATACAAACGCATCTGCAAATTATCCTCCATCTTCTTACTGTTCCTTTCCGGTTCAGGAATTAGAAGTCGCATTTATTATTCGGGAGCATCAAACTCTGATAAGACCACTTCCTAATTTGACTATTTATAGGGGGAAATCCCCCTAAAACTCTGCATATTATTTATTTTAAAATACGTAATAATAATAAATCCCTATGATACGAGCCTTAAACTTCAAGCAACGACACAATACGTATTTAGTACATACACACTACTAGACCCTCTCTACTACTACTCTACTAGAGAGAGAGTAGAGTGTAGGACATAGACCATAGTAGACTATCTCCCTTTCTCTCTCTACTAGTAGAGTAGAGTAGAGTAGAGAGAGTAGTAGTAGAGAGAGAGTAGACTGTAGACTGTAGAGAGAATGAGCGGCAGTGGTCTGCCAGTCCGGAGCTGAGCAAGACTCTCGACTCTCGACCTGCTCTCGAATCTCGTGGAGTGTCGAGACTCGAGAGTCGAGACTGGAGACTGGAAAACTGGAGATTGAGAACTGGTGACGGACTGAGAGTCTGAGAGTTCGGTTTGGCGTTTGCTTTTTGCAGTTTGTATCGAGTAACGACTACATTTTTGACTAACGGGCAACCCAGAGCCGGCAGACGGCAGCGGGGCGCGCCGGGGCGCCTACCCTCAAATCGTTTTCCGTTAAAACTTAAATAAATCGAATAAATATACGTTTACGTTAAACTTTTATTCCATAACAGTCCTTTGTATGCTCACAGGTGCACCGTGCGGGTCTAAACATTTACGTGTGTACTTTTTTTAACTATACGAACCAGTCCGATATGAAGACCTTAGGTAGGCCTTTCTGGTCACATTTTAGCCGTTATCACGTATTAAAATTGAATAAATGTACGTTTACGTTAAACTTCTATTCCATACCCCTAAAACGGGATAAGTCCGCGGTTTCTGGACTTCTGGGGTGGGGGGTGGGGGGTCATTAACGCATTATAATTTATATATTGTTAGTATTTACTTTTTTAAATAATTTTATTTAAACCAATAATAGTAAAAATACCAAAAGACCAATATGTATTTTGTATTTGTACACAATCATAAATAGGCCCTCTAAAATATACAGAGGCTATGTATCACAATTCTAAAATGTTATTTGTTGAGAACGAACAAAAAAAATACTAGTGAGTGAATTGTCACTCCCAGATATTTTTAATGAGTCTGTCAGACTGTCCGTAGCCCCAGCCTTTTAATAATACCGGCACATGTATGACAGTGACTCCTGAATATGCATGAAATCAATCAATCATTCTTTGTTTTTTATTTTATGCTTTATTTTTTTTATTTCACTTTCTTTGTGAGATTTCGGCTCGTACAATGGTCAATGTACTTTTCTCTTTGAAATGACAAAAATATGTTTTTAAAAAACAACAACATTGAAGTGCTTTACAGCTACATGATAGTCTCGAGTCACTGGACTCCTGCCCAGTGGCATCCCAATAGCTGGAGTCTGGACACGCACATCACAGTTGCAGCCGGGGGTGAATATACGTTATTTATTATGTACATATGTAATAATATGTATAAATATGTTTACTTTTTGTTTTTCTATTTTGTTTTTTTGTTTTTTTTTAAATACAAAATAAAAAATAAAAACAAAAACAATCTTAGTCGAAAAGATTAGTTATTTATCGTTAAATAAACGTGGAACGTTTCTTCTGTATGTAAATATTTACAGCAATACCGTCGCAACGAGGGGTTTTTTAAATTGTTATATATTTTATTGGTTTTTTTATTATTTTAAAAAAACCAATATTATTTATGTCTAGATTGTTTTGAAATAAACAATTGTACTGTACATACATGATACAATACATAAATATTTATATATATATATATTATATATTTTTTACACCTGCTGTCTACCCGTGGTCGAATGGTCCCATACATCATGCTCTCAGAGTTGCATGAAGTGTGCCCAAATACGGTAGTGAAACGATATATAACAACATAATTGGCCGCCTCAAAGCTCATTTTCGACTTGTTGCCAGTAGCAATCACACGAGCAGAATAACGTACATTATGCTTTCCAAAACTGTACTGTTGTCTATATTATCAACAACGACACTTGCTCGTAGGTTATATGAGGACAGAATACCAAACGGAGACAATGTTCCTTGCCCACCTGATGCCGAAGGGTGCGTCGATGGCTTATGGTAGGTTTCTCGTTGGTTGGATGTATTTCCCTGTTAGTATATACTACGGTACACGCTCAAGCGTATTTGTTACGCAAATATATTCTGATCACTGCTGATCCTTGTGAGTTTGACCATTGCACGCCGCTTGAATTTACATAGCTCTGTATACGACAAAGCCTGAATTAGTTTGATCGTTCACCTAATCAAGCGGCTATTCTTAAATGTGACGTAGCTTGCACGAGTCCTTGTATGTAAAGTAAAGTACCATGAAAGCATAGTTGAGACACAATATATCATTTCGGGTCAATAGAATGTCTTTTTTTTCTCTGACCGCACGTGGTCATCATTTTTTTTATCTGGCCATACGTGCTCATCTACGCAGCCCTTTATCATTTTTGGCACCTCGTTTCTCACTTCTAATAAACTTTCAGTCCAGAGGTAGCATATTCCACGTGTGTGGGTGGCGATTCACCTAACAACCAATTTGGACTTGACTTGCAAGAGAACGATTATGCGTGGACTATGGAGTTGTGTTTGAAGGACAGCGACGGAGACGGATGTAAGTATTAATATTAGTATCTGTCGCACAATCTTTTCGAATTCGACGTAACCCGATGACTCATAATTTGGAAAACCACTAGTACAGACATACAAAACTTAAATCATATTTCCCGTTCATATATTTATCGTACATCCCACTAAATACTATTTCGATACAGTCACGAACGGTGAAGAACTAGGTGATCCGTGTTGCGAATGGATGGAAGGTGATTATCCATCCTTTGCCAACTTGACAGAGCTAAGCCATCCTGGATTCAGCAGTAGCGTGCCCGAGATATTAAACGAATGTGCAGGTGACGCAGCTGAACTTGTGTGCGAAGATGCCGATGGAAATCTTGTTGAAATTACAAGCGATGAGATAGTCAACGGTACCGTACTAGACACCAACGGCACAGTACTGCTCAATGAAACGCAGGTGGCCTCGTGTGTGCCTATAACTTTCGAAAGCGAATTGTTCCCCGCACTCATCTGTACGGATAGCGAAGGGAATAATATTGAGATTGACGAAAATGACATCAGTGAAAACGGTACCTATGTAGTGGACGGGGAAGTAATTCTTGACGAAGCTCAGGTAATTGCTTGCACTCCGGCCGAAAATGATATAGGAGTGGATATTGCAGGTATTGTGGGTATAGACATTCTCGATGAACAGAATTTGATCTTTTGCCCAGCGTTTATCCCAACGTGTGCTACCGATTGTGTGAATTGCGAAATCACGCTTGAGGTGCTCGGAGTCTCTTGTGCCAAGGCAACTTGCCTTGACGAAGAATAGTGAACTCTCTTTTCGTTCTGAAATCCATAGACTTTTTTCCCTACCTCCGCGATACATGCAAGTGCAAACCCGCCCCTCTGCCGGAGCGTATGTCTCTACATAACACTTGGCACAACAACCAATGTTGAAAATAACTTTGATTTCGAATATTTAGATCAATATTCACCACCTTCGTGTTGCACTTCTCAAACGGAAAGTCTTCAAAATAAACTGCATCTTTAAATATAGATAAAAGACGAAGATTGATTTGTACACACAAGAGTGCATAACTAGTAGCATATTTGTATTAATATTTGCCCATAAATACATCATGGCGTTTCTGTTTCAGAAGGCTATGTCAGGGCATTCTACATTACTGAATCAGACACAGCTTGTCACGGCTTCTTTTTTGGTTGTTGTTTTTTTGTTCCAAGAAATATAAGAACAAATATTTATAAATAATATTTATCCCTCTGTATTTTAGAAGGCTATGAATATTTAGTAATAAAAATATGCCAAAATATCGTCTCCCCCGCGCGTGAAGAGCAGATTCACTTGGGTGCCCAATTACAGTTGAGTTTCTCGAATTGCTCGAACTCTTAATATGTATGTAAATACGGTATGCATTGATTGTATTCACTATTCACCCATTCATCAGACATGTATCAGCTATTTTTTTAAATTATATACATTGTATTTTTTAAATATATGTAACACCTACACCGGAATGATGGATCATATCTTAATTTTAACGCAACACATGACTACGTTAAACCCCTTCACGCAGTGCTAAGGTTTAGTGCAATGATCGGCCCACTCACCATGCTGGTACAAGCAACCTTTGTGCTGGTGCTGCTCCCCCTAACACTTTTCGCATCATACGTAGAGAAGCCAAGTATTTTCTACTCGTTTCTGAGTATGTTCACGATGTGGTTCTACTTACTCGCTCGTACGGAAGAGCATACCGTCTTGATGAACCTGTGTGTGCTAGGCATACTGACTTTGGCGGTTAAGATATTCTTATCCAGGAGGCAAGCTCCTATTTTGTACTACAAGAACGACGAGGACTCCAGCTCACAGACAAGCACTATGGCCTCTTTGCTAATGCACATGCCCAGCCTTCATCGTGTTATCACGGTAGGGACGGTTTAGTAAAGGGCACTTGGTTCAACGCAAGTTTGCGAATATATATATGCGTACACAATTAAGCATTTAATTGGATGAAAAATATTATATACATTCACATACTTGCACATATATATATATATATATATCTATCTATCTATCTATCTATCTATCTATATATCTATCTATATATCTATCT